TGGAACTAATTGAGGTGGGGTAGTAGATGCATCTGCAGGCCCTCCCATTCTGTGTTGAAGAGGATTACACTACCATGATACAACTTCTACAAGCTACTCTGCTTGGAGTAGCTTCTAAACTCCACGCCTGTGAGCTGGGCCCTAGAGCTCTTGTAATTCACTGTTGCTCGAGGAACTGGCGCCCAACCTGGCCGTCAGTTAATGCCACAAAAAGTGCCACCAAAATGAAATGAGGTCCGTTACTGACTTAGAAAAGCAAGCCTTTGATTTTTCACGCTTCCGTGATGGAGATGTCCTCTGCAGCCAGTCTCACCCGTTGCAATATCACAGTAAAAGTTACCTAATGAAGTAGCTCGGCCTGTTGAACTAAACGCTGGGAAGGAACTTGCATGTGGAGCTGGATGTATCCACAACTTTCCCAGTTGAGCTCGGGAGCAAGACACACCAGACCCACCGTTGCAGGCTTTCTTGTTGTGGCTATGCGTTTCTAGCAGGGATTTCCGTACGCCATTCCCCACGTCCTACGCTTGTAGTTTCAGTTAGTGTGCCAGGCTTGTGAGCAAAATGGCTTCTCGGGGAATTTCCAAGTAGGGGTGAATACAGCGTGGCACCGTTACCGCTGAGTTCAACTAAGGCATTAATTACTTCTGGTTGGGCACAAACGTTTTGCACACAACAACTGTGACATACTTTCTCACGAGGCGCTTACTAAGAAATATACAGATTCGGGGAGAAGGTGAAGTGTATTGACACCAGCGTTGAATCATTCACAAACCGCAAAGATGATCAGTGAAAAGCCATCGTAGCTAGAGGAGCTTTTGAGCCTTTAACGCACTGGTGTGTTCTGGGGAAAACGACGAAGAGTAAATGCCATAACTGCATTACTGTGCTGCTAGCCACAGGTGCTGCATGGAAGACCGATGAAGAAGGCCTGCGTAGTCATCTGATCAAAACTCAACAACTCAGCTGAACTCAACAACAACTCGGAAGAAAAAAATACGGGGCCCTAGCCAGCGTTTCCCCTGGAAGTCCTGTAGAGACGACTTTAATTTTCGTCCGAATGACTGCACCTCCCTCAGGCAGTCGCAACCCTGCATACAAGTTCCCTTTTTCTGTGCACTTGAAAAAAAAAGAAAAAACCTCACATTGTTCTTCAAAACCACGTCTTCACTACAACTGCTAAGTTGGATTGATGCATTTAAAAAATTCTAGACAGGGCCTTCGACCCCCAAATCTCTCAATAAAGGGATTGTAATTGTTGCGCTCTGCGCTACGCAGCACTACAGCTGTAGCATAAATAGCCCGGAGTTCGCATGTATGTGTGATGTTGGCGCGTGAACCCTTACACGGCTCTAGTTCGCCACCAGCTAGCAAGCAGAAGTATTTCAGCAGTGGTAAGCCATTTTGGCCCATATAGCAAAGATGGCTTTGTTGTGTGTGCATATGGGCTTGTCTTAAACCATTATATGCAGTAAGGTGCCTTCGAACTCAGAGCTGCCTCCCCTCCCGCAAACCCAGGACGACTGCAACTTCGGACGCCTGGACGCTGGCGACGCAGATCGTCAGTTTTCGCGTAATTTTAATGTCAACGTTGTTGGCTACACTACAGCTCGCCATATAGTCCAAAAATTCACTCCTAACGCTCGTACTACAAGGTAATCCCGAGAGCAAGCATTCCCAAAATTAATTTTCTGCATGAACTAAGAATTTTACACAATTGTTACAAACTCAAGTAGCCTTCAATAGCCAGCCTGCACCCTCGTAGAAGTACACATGCCAACTTCAGGCAGACAGTGCTGCAAAATAGAGGGGCGTGTGAACCTGATGTTTAACTATCGCAGTTGCAGCAGAAGAACCACAAATTCTTGTAAAAGGTACAGGGCTACGGAAATGCCTTTCTTGACGAATTGTGCTCATCGTAGTCGAGCTACAAATCGCACCGCAACGATGGGTGTGCTACGTAAGAACCGCCAACGCAAAGCGGCTGGTGTGTGCGCTTAAAAATCGTGTGTGTGTTATGCGATTAAAATCCAATTGCATTTGTGCGGTAGTTCCTTTATGCATTTGTAGGAGGGAATCAGAGTCAAGGGAGAAGGAAGCTCTACGGGGCGAAAGGGAGAGGCGCGACTGCAGGGCCTGGCGGTCAACAGCTGCCCCGCCACTGCAGCAGCTACACCGTGCAGGAGGAGCTGCTGCTCTGCTGTGGGGATATTTTAAATTGTAATATCCCGGCATATAGTAAATATTTTTTCTCGGCCTTTCACTCGCTTCCTACAGCGCAGCGAGGGTAAGAAGTCTGCGCGGCTGGGACCACGCCCGCATACACCGCGGCAACGGTGCTCCTCTTTTTCCTGTGGCTCCGTCTCCTCCGTTGTTTTCTGAATGCTTGAAAACATAAGTGTTTGTACAGCACCGTGGAGTGTATAGGCCCCCCTTTTTGTCTCCTGTTCCCTCCCTACCCCTCCGGCGCCCAGGGGGGCGGTCGGATGGACGCCGTCGTACCTGCAGGAATTTCCCGCTGCTGATTTGCGCTTGTCTTCTGTTGTAGAATGTTATGGTATATACGGATTAGCCCTAGCAAGTTATTCTGTAGGGCGCTTCCATCTGGACAAAGTACCCGTGGCACCAACCTGGTGCACAACTCATTTGTGTTCGCATGCATTTGCTGCAGATGGCGGAGTCTTTTTCTGTTAATTCTGTTGACTCTGGGTCTCCTTCATTCACCCTGAACAGCGGTCCGTATAGGAACATCCCAGTGTGTGTAAACCTTGCCAAGTAAGACAGATCCAGAAGCCTCCCCAGCTGCCCACTGTTATATTCTTGCCTACCTTCACATGCGTCTCTGTTCGTAGAGGGGTTGCCGTTATCGAATAAATCCCCTCCTCAGCACCATTCACAACTTATTAGTGGTGAGGACGGGTGTCCCCCTGCTTGATGCTCATCAGCTTGCTATACCATGCGTGTCTTTGACCGTGCCGATACCTTGCACAGGGGCCTGCCCGCAGATGCTTGGGAACAACTCCACACAAACCCCCTCTTTGGAGAATGGACCTCTAACCTTTGCCACGACGGTAGATTGAAGGTAGACCGCATCACCATTCAGCAACTGAAACCGGAGATTTGCATCAGTAAGGCCGCCTGCAGAGGCAGCAAAGAGCAGCAGTGATAGCAGTTGAGGTAAAAGGACGAGTGTGCACAGTTATGTATTGGCAAGTGCACGTTGGATAAGTAGTGTCTTAGTGATTGTTGCATTTGCAGACGTGGAGGCGACAACCAACCAGGGCACTTCTGTGAATGGGCCAGTGGTCCTGCGGCCGATGCAGTCAGCAATCCTAATAGTGCTGCGGAATTCTGTAACAACTTTGGAGCTGTGTGTATTCTGCAAACGGCCGGAGTTAGGGAGTGGTCTATGCGAGAACCTGGCCCTAGTAGAAGGCACATTTGACCAACAGGGGAAGCTAGAGGGCCCCTGTGCCGCCCTATTGGAAAAGCACCTAAACCTCTCTCTGCACAGAGACGACTGCGTGGATCTCTTGACGGTTGCTCATGGAGAAGCGATTGGCGATTCTGGGGTCACTTGCTGCCCCTCCTCAGCAACGTCAGAGGCTCCTCCTGCCATCAGATCGAGGCTTCTGTTGTACCGAAGTATTGTTTCGCCGGAGGTGCTGCAGAAATTGGAGCAAGATGTTGGAAGGACCAAGAGACACGGTTATCCCCCAGCGACCATTGGATCGTCGCAGGGTGGGGAGGGCTCTTTAGGCCTTAGGTAAGCATTGGGCACGACAGGAACTGTTTCTCCTGGGCCACTTCACCCTCGTCCCTTCTCGGTCGTTCTGTTAGACTTTATTGCTGTCATTTGCAAGCACGTCAGCTTAGGCAAGAGGTTTTAGGACACTGCTCAAGTGCTGTTCCTGTTAGCTGCTCTCGCCGTCTGCTGCCGTTGCAGTGTGGTGTACATGGGCGACGCCTGGCGCGCAACGTTGGATCCTCGTGCAGTCTTTGCTCTCTTCCTCTTAGTCGAGATTCGTTACCACCAGTTGAAGCTTCCGAAGCCTCCGAGAGATACAGTGCACGATGCGAAGGGAGGAGCCTTGGTCCGTAGGGGCGATGGCGTTGGCAATTCCACCCTCGGAGGGCCTACCAAGAAGGCGGCGGAGTTCAGGAAGATATCTTCGCTCACTCCCCTCTGCACAGGAGTCAACTTGCGCGTTAAAGTTGTCGAGCCAATCAAGCCCGCAGTAAGAAGGAAAAAGATTGGGGAGAGCGGAGGGAGGGACGCAGGGTGCTTCAGAACGGGTCACCTCCTTCAATTCATTGCGTTCTCGAGCTAGGCTACCCTGCTGCTAATTAAGCTTCCCTTGAGGGACAGTTCAGCCTTCCTCAGTTCTGTCTTAAGGAGGGAATGGGGAACGATTCTCTAGAACAGATAAAAGAGTTACCGTTCGGCACTAACGCTATGAGCTGGATTGCGTTTGGATAGGCGCCCGATAGTCCAGAATGCTTTTCACATTCGTGCATTTCTTCTGTGGTGTCTGCCCTGATGACACGCAGCCCGACTTTATTCTTCCCCGGGGCCAGGCCATCAAAAGAGGAACCATGGTCGTGGGGGACGATGAAGCAATGATAACTCTCAAGTGAGCATGTGTGTAGGTTGTGGTTGGGGCAGTCGCAACGGCTGGTGCAGCCGCAGGTGTAGCAGCTTCATTTCCCAAGGCATATGGCCATATTTGCGCTTGTCTTTCTGCTTGCTTTATGCGCGAGGCACTGCCGACATTGACCTGCTGTATTAGGCTGCAGCAGAAGGGCATGCAGCGTGGTTCGTTTGCTGTATAGGTATTCATGGATGTAACGTCCTGTGTCTTTCTGCTGCCATATACTTGTTTGCGTTGTAGCTTGGAAGGCGGTCAGCTTGATCTACCCGACGTCGTGAATACACCCCTGTTAATCAGAAATGCGAAGGTCAAGATGGAGGAAGGACACATGAGGCTTGCAGTGGACAGATGGGGGAAAATTTCGTACGGCGTGGAGCTACATTTCCCGGTTGTTGCTATGCCGTTGGTTCTGTTTCTGTTCTAGGCAGGAGGCTTGTTGCTGATGCTGCCTGAAGCATTGCTGATGATGTTGCCAGTTCAGTGGTTGCCCGTTTTGTTCCTCCCTTTGTCGTCATTGTCAACGACATGTCACTTCTGCCGGTGCTGCGTCATTATCGTAGGGACGCCCGAGATGACGACTTCAAGGACTTCAATTTTTCAGTTTGCACGACGAGAGATATGAGTGAACAGGAGTATGAGTTGGTGCACGTGGCGGGAGGTGATCAGGACACAACCGAGGGCAATGTTGGCCGTGGTGGCGGAGGCCCACCCTTCTCCGGTAGGGGACGGCCCTTCAGGGGAAGAGGCCGTGGGGGCTTCAGAGGTGGCAGGGGAAGGAGAGGCATGTAGGCCGAAACTACCAACTTGAATTGCGGTGCGTTTCCTGATATCGGCACAGCGTATGTCACTTCTCGGGTTCCTGCTGAACCACTAAACATAAACCCAAATGTACCCGGCTTATTTTGGCGGCGCAAGTTTGACACCTAACATGCGTGTCCACAGGGGTCCATGAATTATGTCACGTAATTTCAAGCGTCTGCAGCTGAACACTTCCCCCTTCCTGTGTTCCCTCAGGACAGTTGGCAGGTGCAGGGAAGGCATATGCGGCTGCAGGGGTGCCGAGTGTTGTATCTTTGCAGAAGCTCTAGTTATCAGCCGCACCAGGGTCACTTGCTGCAGGAATTGCAGCAGTGTCACTGAATTTATTGGAACAGAAACAGTAACATTCTCCACAGCAGGGTGATTCGCTGTTTGATAAACGGCCATCTGCTAGAGGCCCGATTGGTGTCTAACGCATGGGTATGTGGCCCGAAACAAACGACACAGATGGGAAGGTAATGATGGCTTGTTTTCCCGCTCTTACCTTCCGCTACCGGCCAGCTTGACTGGCGCGTCGTAGCAGCGATCGAACGAGTTTACCTAAGGCTATGCTCATGCCGGGTGTGCGTTCAATCATATTTCCTAGAATTCATGCAGGCAGGGATATGGCTCTGAAATTCGGGAAGTTCCCCTGTAATTTGTAGGGGAGCTTTCTTTGTGTAGCTGAGGCTCCTTTGCTGCGTAGCTAGTTGATATAGCAAGGGTTGTCGAATAGGAATAGGCCTAGTCGAGTTATTTGTTGACAAGCTGGTGATGCAACTACACAGCAAGCATCTAATGGCTCGTCAGAGCATAGGGAAGTATGCAACGACGGAGCTTGAGTGCACTCCTGGAAGGGCTTCAACTAAAACGACTTGGACCCTGGCGAGGTCACCCAAGGGCATGCATGTGGCCGCCCGCCCATCTTGCTCTTAATCCAAACAGCGCAACATCACTCGTGCCATATTCGTGATCTATAGCACCTCCTGTGGAGATATCACAAATCGGCATCCCCGGACAAGATTACCCCATCATCGCTGCCAAGATCTTCCCATGATATGTCCTGAAGATACAAGCAGGCGAGAATGATGGACTCATTATGCATAGGTCAAGACGTGCACCACTCCACTGCAAGCATAATCAGGGTCTAAAGTCGTGCGAGGTCATCTGCTGTTCATTTGCTTATTTTGCAAGCATGGCAGCATAGGCAGATAGGCACTTCACAAGTCCATATGCGTACCCACTTACTTTTGATAAAAAGCATCAACGCGTAAATCGACAGCACAGGTGCACGTGAACACACGCATTCAAATGCAAATAGTACGGAGGAGACCAGCTGAAGTTGTGGTAGACATTATTTATTTGGGTTCGTTGAGCGGCAAGAAAAGTGTGGGGGTGGAAATTACACAGTGTCGGACCTCTTCGCTTTCTGAGTCGTCAAGGGCCTTTGTCGGTGCCGTCACTTTGCTTAGGTGTATAGAGAGCTGTTTTTCCTCCACCATCTGGAGGACACGGGCGTGGAACCGCCGCCAGAACAACTCCTCGGTTACCTTCTCAGGGACTGCGTCAGTGATCATTTGACAATCAGACACAAATGTTGGCGCTTCAGGCAAACAAAAACGAATGTTAAATGTGGCTTAAAGCCGAGCGCAAGCCTAGAGCGGCAAAGGCGGGGGGCAAACAAGGAGTACAATTACAGTGTAATACTACTTAGCGCTGGAGAAGAACGACCACAAGGAGCCATGCTACCTAGTCTTTGCCGAGCTTCGGCAACATGAGGATCATCCATATATTCCTTTATTTCTATCTCGGACGGCCCCGTATATTCTTTTATTTCGGTGGGACAGATTGCTGCATTTCTAGGTAGATACATCTCACAAATGCCAGTTTCTGGTTCAGGCTGCTGCACCTGTTGTTCTCGATTCTGCGTGCAGTTAGCATAGAAACTGGGGGCTGAGGTCGCCATATCCGAAATGAATGAAGCATCTGACATCGCTATAGATCGATAGAGATGCTTTACTGCTGCATTCGTCCTGCATGGGCAGAAATCAAACGAAAAGTTGACAAGGCACTGTTCAAGATATATCTGATCCGCGGGAAGTTGTTTCAAACACGTAGGAACTACCAAGGAGCGTAGAGTCGAAAATACTTGGGGTCCCTACTTGTAACCGCTCCTCACCTCCTAACTGGCAAGACGGACTCTGTGGCTTCCTCCAACATGCACACATTGGGTTCCTCAAAGGGGCCTTTCGTGCTATAATCATTTTGTGCATAGTCTAAGTGGATACGTGACAGAACAGGGACATTGGTTCTGTCTACGCAGATTATATTGTCATCGAAAGGATGTGGCTTGGAATGAATGCTGCGGATGACGTGGTTTGTGCCGCTATCAATGCTGCTGGTGCTAACAATGTTGCTGTTATTTGTGGCACTGCTGCTGTGGCTGCTGCCGTCCCCAAAGTGCCTGCTATTGGCAACGGAAGTGCTTAACTGGTCGGAGTATTCGTCTCTGGGGCAGCTTCCTGCATGTCTGCGGACCCAAGCTGTTGAGTCCGAGACAATAACGGGACAAAAACCTTTTAGGTCATTATTGGTGTCTCCCTGAGCAGAAAACTGAGCATACAACCTTCACACTGGGGCAAAATGCAACAGTTACCTGAGGAGATAGGCATATGTAGACTGAAGCTCAGGCGGCGGCGGCTGCTTTGACCCTGGTGGGTTAAGGGGTCCGCGCCGTACGGATTCTGCGCCGGGTTCGGAGACATGGTCTGAGGCAGAGTTAAAGAGCCATTTTCCCCAGCCTCCTGTAGCAGTAAAAAGGAGGGAAGTCATACTGGAGAAAGTCGATACAAGACGCCTGGGGCCACTGACTAGGTTGAGCTCGGCCGGTTCCTCGCTCTCTGTCGATCTGTTACCTGCTGGGCCACTGGGCACCATAATGGGAGGAGAACGCAGTGATTCCTGGTGGGAAGAAAGAGAAAATATTGTTTTGTTTTTTAGCATTAGCCATACGAGAAGGTGTATTGTCGCTGGCTCTCAAGAGCCTGAAGCAGTAGGTCGCGGAGAGGAGAGACCTCAGGCGGCAGTCCTGGTTACAGAGTCACCGAGACTCAAGAAGCGTTCACACACGCCAAAAAAAACCCAAATAGAAGATCCAACATCTAAGTATTACCTCATTTCTGCAGAGAGAGAGAGAGAGAAGAGAATATCAAATCTTTAGAAGTCGTTGTTTTTAGTTGATCCCAAACCACACAGCAGGAAAAAGCAAGAAAGTTACAGGGGGAGTCCACTGCATGGGTAGGGGCGTACTAGTGATGTTAAAGGTGCCGTATTGCATTCATCACTGCTTAAATATGTTAGTGTTGTGTGTTCCTACAGAAGACAGTTTTCACCTGGCGCTTTCCTAGAGCGCGACTGTGTTGTTCTGCACGACTACCTTGTCCCAGACCATCTATCGCCTAGCCCGTCTAGATCTAGAGCCAAACTTTCTAGGACGTTTATTGTCATACGCATCAAGTTGATGTACTTTCGCTTGTCGCCCCTCATCTCTGGACAGTGACACATATGAAGGGACCGTCCCAGTTGCCCCATTTATGACACGGGACCATTAGTGAGGGCCGTATTGCGCTGCAATATAATCGAAAGAGGCAGTGCTGTACGGCACAGCCACATGCAAATATCTCCAAAGACCCCTTTCTATGCATGTGCACACACACTAGCAATCTCCAAAAACTTGCTTTGCCTTCAGTTGCCAGTGTCTATGCCAATATCGATGAACTATCGTCCCCAGCTAGGACGTGCTACGTCGGCACAACCCCTTTACGCGGGCTTTGGAAGTAGCGTAGCTGCATACTCATGGGCAAATTTTGACCCTATTAGTACAATAGTGGTAATAAATTTCGGAAGAGAGGCTTCAAAACCGCGTAAGCTTCTTCTTGTTCCATTGTACTAAACAACAAACGAAACACCTGTGGACTGAGAGAAATCATTTCCCATACAAGGTACTGGAAAACAGATTACATGAGCAGTCTTGCCTTATCAATGGTGTCGCACCCTACGTTCAGGAGTGATACACACTGATTGCCAATAGTCTCGCCCCTTTCTGATTTTTCAAATCCTTCGGAGGCACATAGTACAAACTGCAGGTGCACAGCAACATCCATATCCGCATATGCCTGTTCACCCGCATGCCAAAATTGTAGTCAGGCGAATGCCGCCAAGAGCTCTTGCTGACTGCTTGGCGAGTACTTTGCCGAGTCAGCTACCCTGAAGAAACAAAGCGGAAAGGGAAGTAGGATGGTTTTCTACAATCGACTACTGCAATATTAGAGCATTTAGGGCAGTAACAATACTACAAATACCCTATCCCGCCCCCTTGAAGAACTGTAGGGGCGATGCGTTAAGGGCCCTAACGGCTGCAAAGTGGGATGGCATGTAGCACCGGCAACAATACCAAGCACACCCCTTAGCCAGCATACAACACAACGAACTCACGTGGAAGACATCACCAACTTCAGAGCTCGCCAGCTCTAAAGTGTAGAACCACCCCAATACGCACGAAACTCAGGGGGGGATCGAGCCTCCACCGCTACTTTTCCAGCTGGTTTTGTGACGACGTTTGCCATGAAACAGTGTAGTATGTTTGCTCTTTGCTGCCTTGGGAGCGAAACACGCAAGAAGGCAACGGCGGGACCATGAGCAGGGCTCCTCCGTAGTCCTACAGAAGGCCCTGGGCAAGACCGTCCACCTATGTCGATCACATGATACAGCCTATATTCAGGTACTCCGGATGCAGCCTCCTATTGATCTATTTCTCGATCGTAGAATCCTCAGCCGGCGCTACAAAGCACATATTGTACAGACATCTAATGCTTGCTCAACAGCGTTGCTGGAGCTATCTAAAAATGAGCGCCACAGGGCAATCACCTTATCAATAACCGAAGCAAGCGGCCTCCGACGGGTTGCCACAGAAAGCTTCATTAAGTTTCATGCAAGGCGGATGTTGGTCCAGTAACATGCACTGAAGAAGTGAAACTGTTAGAGCGTTGCGTTAAGGGCTCTAAGGGCAGCAAAGGGGCTATGGCTTGCCGCGCTGGCAGCAATACCAAACCCAACACGGCGAGGTCTCGATTAACTGACTCGAGCGCGCATTTGAGAGTCTCCGAATGGGTGGTCTGCACACCGCATTTTTCGCTTACCGCCGAATCATTTGTTGTTGCAGCTGCGCAAGCTTCTGTAGCTTCTGCAGCTGAAGCCTGCAGGCGAACAGTCCAAAATAACTGATTTTCCATGCTGTAAGGGCCCCCGGTATGCACTTGCCAGTGGGGCTCTGCGCTACACCCTACGCGCGATCGTTGTTCCAGCTGCTGAGAACCCTTCGCTGAAGCTGCAGCTGTAGCCATTTGCTGCAGAAGAACCACATCTGCAGCTAGGTGCAGCAGCAACTGCAGAGAATTTGAAAGGCCTATGTCCCCTTGCTGTTCAGACCTCGCCTGTTCTGTCTGCAGAAATTCCCACTGCAATCTCTGTTGCAGCAATGTCTGTGCGTTTTGCGCTGCAGCAACAACCGCCTCCCAGATTGTATTGCGCACTATTGCAAGCATTGAGGGCCTTTCGTACCCGTCATCAGCTCCACCTGCAACTGAAACACTTGTTTCACTCGGCGACGCGGAGATAGCTGCAACAATGGCTGCAGCTTCTGCCACCCAGAAATCTTCTGGCAGGGACTCTCGTGTACAACTGCTGATAATGCTATCAAAGAGCCCACAGACCGCAGGATGAAACGGAAGACGTATAGCCTCAAGGCATTGGCTTCGTCTCCCCGTCAGTAGTTCTTCCGGATTCAGTGGCACGTTGTGATAATTAGCCTGCTGCAGCTGTTGCTGGATCGGAGTTACGTTTTTTTTAAGTACTTCCGGGAGTAGCAACAGGAGAATATCGCTCTCCGCGAATCGAATGTTAACAGGCAATTGAACCACTATAGGTCCCCAGGGTCCCCCGTTGGCACAACAGGGGAGACAGCAGCCTAGGGTTACGAAATGGGCTGCCAGGGAAGTGAATGCACCAGCTGCAACTGAAGCAGGAAGCAGTAGCAGATTATCCCCTCCCCCTGCAGAACCAATAACTGTTTCTCCTGTGGAAGGCAGCGTGATTTGCTCCCGCCCCCTAATGGGGCATTGCGGGTCCCGCTGCTGTAGTATCTGCTGCTCCACAGGATCAAAGTCAGAAATGAAGTCTCTCCAGTCGGCTGCGGATACCCACAAGTCGACAGTCACTTCGTCTGGGGCCACTTGCCGCTGCTGCTGCCGGTGCAAATAAACATAGGAGGAGAACAAAGACACGAGTTGACGTCCCGCTTCACCTGCCATTACATCGGGTTGCTGTAGCAGATGTACCTTCTGCGAGCACGCCGGTGTTTCCTGCTTGTCTGGTCTCACATTCCCAGAAATTGTGACTCCATCATGCCCAAACTCCATCCCTGGCAGGGTCCCTTCATTGACCATTGGATGCTCGAAAACCTGTGTTCCCGCCCTGTCGTCTGTCGCTGCATCCGTGCTTGCGTCGTCACGTCCCTCCGCCTCAGCCAGAAGGGCGAGCATGCGAGCCAGAAAAGCGATTACTGAGACAACACACAACTGCCAACCGTGCCCCCACGCCTCATTCAATTGCTCCTGCGCAGTCGGCGGACCTTGCTGTCGCTGAGGATAACTACATCGTTCCAAAACTCTGACTGCCGATACACCTCGGAAATTCAAATTCCTGCAAAATGGAAGGGGTGAGCAAACACTCCAAACAAAATTCAGCAGCCGCTTCAAGAAGACAACGGTGATGCACTTCTGGAGCTGTTCATCCACAGCCTTCAAAGGGGCGCACGCAGAAACACCCCAACAGTCCTCAAATGGAGCCCAGCTTATGTTGGTAATCCTGCTATCGCTGGTAATGCCAGTGTCTCTAAGGAAACAGCAGTAGAGTGACTCAAAGGGCTGGTCAAGAGACACTCCTGCAGAGACAATGCTCTTTCCCGCAGCATCCGCAGCAGGAGCTCCTACAGTTTTCGACGCTCCTACTTCTGCTGCGCTGGCAGAACTAGTAATCGATATAAATGCCTTCAACGCTCCTACAGCCCTGCGGAAACTTTCTCTTTCATCAAAGCCACTGCAGCAGCAGCCTGCTGCTGCAGCATTGGCTGATACATCCCTTGTAGCTCCATCCACCGCAGAAGACTCTGCTGAACGACATGATAGGCGCGAGCAGGCAAAGTGTATGGACCTTTTCCTGTTTCCCACGTGCTGATGGAACGGCCAACAGGCGTGCAAGCGGAGCAACAACTTGAGAAAGGCTGAAGCACTGAGCTCAACGGTGGTCGTAGCAGAAGGGGCAGCAGCTGCCCCATTGTGGGATGCAGAAGGGATAAACATAGTCCTGCAGTTTACCAAGTAAACAAGCACCGGTACTTCAGCAGCCAGTTTGAAGGACCGGCGAAGAGACTGCGCTAGGGTGGCTGCCCGAGCTGCTGAATCAGTAGGTATCTCAGCTTGCGCTGCTGGTTCCGTCAGCGCTTGATCCACGAACTTCCCAGTCCCTGTTGCTTGTTTTACACATGCTTCTCTTCCTAAGTTATAATGCGTCCTCAACGTTTCACTGTCGTTCTCAAAATCTTGTTCCAGGAGCAGTAGGGAACCCGCAGAGGCCTGATCACACGTGCTGCAGTTACAATCGAATGTGCATTTTCCGCAGCAGCTGCTGCTGTTCATGCTGCTTTTACTGCTACTGCTGCGGGAACTATACAGACTGTAGAACGACTGCATGCGGTCGAGATGGTCACCGCCGAATTCCAACAGGTGGAGCAGTACGTAGCGGCTAGCGTTAACCTTGCTCCACAGGCCGTGCTTCTGTTCCTGTAGTTGCTGCTCCGTCTGAATGCCGAACTCTCTGCAAAAGAAGGCAAAATCTTCAGCAGATATTAATGCCGCAGACCGCGCAACGTCCGTATCTAGGAAAGGAAGCTCATCCCGGGATCTGTTCACCAGTCTTTCGAGGGCAGTTACTGCTGCAATACTTGTATTGGTCTCATCTGTTATCTTGCCCCCCTCTGGAAGCCTGCGGTGTGGTTGTGCCCGTTCGTCCTTGTCAGCTAGCCTGGCTGCTGCGCAGTCAGGGTCTAACGCCGACGTCGCCGTTGGCCATAATTGCTTATCAGCGACAGAAAAGACAGAGCCAATGGCAGATCCCGGAATCACCTCCCTTCGATTCGAAAACTCTCCCTGAATGATGGGTAGAAGAGACGTGAGTGCTGTGTACCTAGGGTCTCTGGATGCCACGAGCGAATACAGCAAAGCGCTCTTCCCAGCATTTTGGTCCCCCAGTAGCAGCAGGCTGACGCAGCAGCAGTCCCGCCTAGTACTCCTACTGTGGCTGGGGGACAGTAGCTGTTCGTAGTACTCGTCATGTCTGTCCTGTTGTACGTAAACCCCACACTGCTCCAAGCCAAAGGGCGTTAGCCGCAAGGGTATTCCCATAGTTCCGCTGCGTGTGTCTGCCGGTAGTTGTTTAGCACTCAACTCCGACACAAATACATGGAGAAACAGAGCTGCAGGAAAACACAGGAGCAGAGGTGAGCTGGTATAGCCTGCCTCCGTCCCCGGCTAACCATCCCGCGCAACTGGGGGACAGCCTACGATTTTGAGTACATATCTCAAAAGGCGGAAAACCCTTGTTACGGTGGTCTGTGGTTCCTCTTCACTTTTTGGGCTTCAACCATCAGTAAGGTCGCTAGTGCTGTTGTATGTGAGGTTATGGACCATGCCGCTGGCCTTCTTGAATACGCAGTCACGTGGGGAGGTGGAAATAAGTTCCCATTAGCCAAACGAAGGAGACAAGGCAACCTGGATTCCATATATCTAACTTTGCAAACTACATCAAACCATCGCAGACGTGGAAGCTATGCCGGGTGCTTTGACCACCCGTGGTTGTTCGGGTTAGCCTGCCACTAGTGGGTGCTGAGATTTGGCATTTCGGGGCTGCTCCTGCAGCTTCAGCAGTCCAGAAGGCGACTCCTGCATTCATGTAGACCAGAAAATATCGGCCTAGGGTAGTGATAAAATATGGAAGGACAGCAACAGTCAACGGGGCTCCAGCGGCGCAGCCGACCCGCCTCCGCAGCCCCAGCAAACCCAGAAGCACAATCTGGGGTTGGCTCTCCGATTTGTGAATTAAACTCTAGTTTCACGGGTATTTCCCTGTAGCGTGGGCAACCTTTTTCAAACTGCAGCTTCCCTTCGTCCTGGCGGTTGCGCTGCCTCAGGATGATGCGTGGGAGTCCATGTAGCGACCAGGACTTTGTGAAAACTTTGTTCCTTGTTGCCTCGCACTTTGTGGAGAAGCCCCGTGCACTGGGCACTTCGTTGACGTGCTTACGTACCGTTTGTCTAGGAGGGACTAGGACATGTTTCCACTTCAGAGAGAAGTGTTCTACACTCAACGCACGCGGTACAAACAGATCGAATGGTCGTTACGGAACAATGTGTATGAAGTGCCCACTGCACTGGAGTCCCCAACGAATTGCGAAACCACAAGAATAAACTATTCACAAATCCCTGTTTCGGAGTTCGTAATTTTGCTCTTCCTGGCGTAGTCATGTTATTTATATGGAAGACTACGCACCATTCTTTTAGCGCACGAAGTTCCTAACAACTGTCTACTGCTTTTGTACCTGCAGCCGAGAAGGCTTGTTTGCGCTTGCATGCATGCGTCTGTTTTGCCCCTTCCGTCGCAGCAACTTGCGTTGTAACTCATGGCAGGGAAGCTTCATCTGCCGCAGCTCTAGGCTTGAGACGCTAAGTTAAGGAAGCCTGTAGATTGGGGAGAAAGATCACTAACGTTTGAGAAACCAGCAAATATTGTGGCTCGAGTCCAGCTACCAATACTTTTTGGTGGAGGTCCAGGATCGGCGTTACAGTGGGTGAACGCCCGACTGTCATCAAACAGGTAGTTTTGCAATAGAACACTTGAAGTTGGATTTTGTTGGCTGAAATGTGTCTACAAACGCTGACATATGGTATTAGAGCAGGGCGGCTAATGCTGACACTAGCTTGATCGGCAGCAGCTGATATGTGTAAAGTGCAACATATTCTGTCTGATACTGATACTTTCCCCTCTTTCGGAAGTTGGCACATGCATCAAGACAATTCCATACTTGGCAAACGACAGGGAAGCGGAAGCTTTCAACAAGGATATCTAGTGTGCAGTTGACTTGCATTGCCACTCACTTTAGTCCTAGGACAAGCTCGATTACAATTGTTACAAGTAGCGAGTCCCTGATGTTGTTCAAGGCATATCGAGAACAACATGTCGAAATACCTGAAAGGAGTTCCGTATAAGCTGACCTCCCAGCCCATTCTCCTGGCGTCCGCAGCATAGCTTCTTAAACACCTGGAGCTGCGGAGGGGATGCGGGATGCCATGAGTTGCGACGCACATCGCTGCAACTTGAGGTCCAAGACAGGTCCACGTGCACACACGAGCCAGCCTTCTTGGTTTCATGCACTAATACTGCAGAAAATTGTTCAAGTGTTCTTCTTGAGTGCCGGCTTCCTATAAAGGCCGGGTAATGGTACACGCAACAACTTCAGACAAACGTGACAGCTCCTGACAGACGGAGAATACTGCATCTTCCTCATTTCTCGGGCGAGAAACACGCACCCACATGCATCTGTGTCCGTGAAGACGACTGTGTTTCTCCTGTTGCTGCTTAGCCAAGACAGCGTGCAGCTGTTTCTGCTACGCTGGTATCCTCCTACCCGCACACCTCCGTCTCCAGCCTTTAGCAAGTACGTTCCTTGACAAGAATGTTGAAGTGATCGTGTTGGGACAGCTGTTCAGGAGACCACTTCAGGATGCGGAAAATACATTGAACTCCGCTGCGCTCCGGTGTTTAATAGTGCTAATTTTGCTTACTGGCTTGCCGTCTCCGAATCTGTTTTACTGGAACGAAGTAGAACAGAAAAATGATACTGTCTTGTTTGAATGAACTGTACGCTTCCCTAATCTCAGGGGTTCCAGATAAGGGGAGCTGATATAGCATCTCTACAGGGAGAGGAGCGAAACAAGACCACCGGAATACTGGGCAAATCATTGCACAAAAAGTGAAAAACATTTGGGCTTCATGAGTTCTGAAATGCCTGCGTTTGCCGAATAATTAAATCAAGTCCGACCTTAAGCTGGGGTGTTCATAACGATGCATGCAGCCGAGGCCGGGTCGTCGAGGATTGCCTGCAGATATTCGCGAAGAATTGAGTCTCGCAAACACTCCTTAGAAACCCTTTCCGGTTGCCAGTCTTCTTGCCATTTATCGTAATATCCACGTCTTTACGTCATCCATGTACAGAATCAACAAGCCGCTACTCTTCGGGCCCGGCAAACGTGATTGACCTGTTGGTTAAGCTCGCCTAGTACATTCACGAGGTCACAGCGCATACACGTGTTCTTCACCTTGCCACAGTTTTGTCTGTGTGTGTTATAAGGATAGATATTAATCGTTAGTAACGCACCAGCGAGGTATCCATGTGATTATGAATCCTGGGAATGGTCAAGCGATACGGCAGTTCTCGTGTCTGAGGCATCATAAGTTTCTGCTTCAACGTGATTTTGTTGACGGGTTTGAAGTGGACGAACCTGTGCCAGTTGCTGTTAGGTTGCTGAGCTAACACCGAATTGTTTCCAAACAGCCGACGATTGGACTTCTCATTCCCTTAAGTTTCCGAGTGGTTGCCTCTAGACTTCCCCTTCAGGCTGTTCTAGAGTCGACGGTGGTACTCTGAAACAATGCTTTAGACTTCTCCGGGGATAAATTGGAAACGGTGCAGTGGACTTCCAGCAGTCAGCAGCCCAATAGAAGCTCATTCTGATGTAACATAGTTGAAGATATCTCCTTCACTGTGTGGAGATCTACTGTTCCTCGTGGTGGTTAATCACCACTGTGCAACTGAGCTAAAAGGCTGAGAATTGACCAGGATTTTGGGACGGTCTAAAATATTTTCCCTCTAGGTATACATATATGTCTTCTGGAGCACCATAGGCAATACTGACTGCTGTACACCAGGCTACCTTACTGTGGGAGTGAACTCTGTTGTTCCCTCCTACCCCTGTGGACGATGCGGCGTTACCAAGTGTAAAACGTATCGTCGGTCGTACCTAGGGACGAATGTTAGCATTAAAGCATCGGAGATGCTTATGATGAGAGTCCACTACATGTTGTTGACATCCCCAAGGTTCCAGCCACTGGGCGTAGCAGCCCTAACGCCCAGTGCTGCAGGGTTCCGGCATTTGTTATGATAAATTGTGTTGCAACTGACTCTGCAAGCTATCTCCACGTGCAAGGGCGACAATCCCTTGTTGGATGTATATACTAGAACTGTAGTCGACTGTTACCTTCTGCTTGCGTACCGGCCGCCTACTAAAGGTGTGTAATTCTGATTGCGCCAGTTTCAGTGGGTTTCGCCAGCATGATATACTAAGCCTCGCGTATCCCCTCCCCAGCAGCCTCAAGATCTCCTAGCTCTGTTCCAGAGACTGTCGTTAACAACAAGCGGGGTAAGACTCCCTACGAACTCGTCAGTCCTCTTGAATCATCGCAGACAACGACCTGCCATAGACAGATCATGGTACCGCTTCTGTTTGCAAATGTTTCCATACAGCCCCTAGCATATATGCTGCCTTGCATTGGCATTTACAATGACCTCTCAGGAGCAACTTCCAAATACAATGCTTTTCTTGCTTTTCCGCATCGCCCTTTCAGCTTCAAGCTGGCGGAGGTGGGCTGGCACACGCAGTGCGGAAGGTGAAGTTGTGCAGATTTACTGCTGCTCCCACTGAGTAAAGCGAATTATTCAATATTTCCATGGGGTCTGGTGACAGGAAAACTGAGTTGAGGAACAGCAAACTCGGGGCAACAGCTGCAGCCACAAACTGTAGTGCACAGGCACCACATGGTCCACACTTGCGGTAGTCAGCGTGTAAGCTAGAGAGTGAGGACAGCAGCCTATAAGAGACCTGAGGTTACCTAAGTTAGCTATAAATGGAATTCGATAATATTAGCAGGTTTAGAAGCATATTAGAGGTGTAGCAGTTGATTTGGTGCTGGGACTTAGCAGCACCCCGTCGCACAGCTATGCGCGCTGGCGCATAGAAGGTAAGTGACATAGTTGGGTCATGTTTGGCTCGGTGTATTCAATTTAGGATAGAGGTTTTGTGAATTAGAATGAAATTGGTACATTTAGAAGCAGAGTCGGCCCGAAAGAGTCGGGCCTGGCCGTCGGTCCGACCGGTGCACCCGGTGCCGGGATGAACGACAGGGTGTAACCCGCACCTGGCGGGGACAAACAGACACTCACTGAAGGAAGGCAACTTGGAACGATCCTTCCTTCGGAAGTTCCGTAATTTAGGGATTTCCATGGGGATAACTGAGAGTTAAGGGGTTTAGACACTCATTTTGTAGATCTAGCTCATACAGGGGCCTACAG